GCTACAACAAGGCTAGGAAAAGAAATCTGCCCGTTTGTGGTTGCTTAGTCATGTTTGGTTCGGTGAGTCGCTCTGTGCCAGGATTAGCTGGGAGGCAGCCAGGCCCTGGACCAAGGGAGTCCCCACTGATCACACGAATGCTGAGCTCCCTGTCTGAGTCATAAGACCTGGGGTGGGCAGTGACCTGAGGCAGAGGCCTGGAGGTGCCACCAACTAACCCTGGAGAAGCTGAAAAGATCTCATTTGTTTGTTGATTGATTAATTGATTGTTAATTTGGTTATTTTCCTTCTTCCCCTGCTCTGGACTAAAAGCACCAAGAGGGCAGGACCCTTAGCGGCTGTGTTACTGCTGTATCCCTCCAGAAACGCTCAGTGACTGAATGACAAAACTTGCTGTCTTTCTATGTCTCATTCATCGGGAGGAATGTCAGGGCTGAACATCACCGGTCTCGCGCACTTTGGTCCTAGCACCTCACCCGATGCCCAGCACGCAGTAGGTACTTGTGGCCGACACTTGTCTCTTGACAACAGAACCCCAAGTTGTCCAGGCAGCCACGTCCCAGCAGATGGAGCAGGGCTGCTCCATGTTGATAGTGACGACTCTGCTCTTGGTCAGGGACTACGTAGGATGGTTACATGACCCGGTCTGGCCCGCGAAGTGTAAGAGAAAATCTGCCTTGGACTTGTGTCGGCAGGTAATGTTGCCCTTGCAATAGCCATCTCGTCACTCTGGGGTCCCAGAGCTTGGAGACAAGCCACCGCGATGAGGATAGCAGGGCTGAAGGTACCTTGGTCCTCGATGACATTGTGAGTCCCGAACCAGCCTGAAGAACCAATCTCCCCTGGACCTCTTGTTAAATAAATACTGTCCTTATGTTTGAACCCACCAGTAGCCCATTCTTCTTCTTGTGGCCAAAGGCATCTGAATGGATTCAGCACTCAGTCCAAATAAAAGCCTTCACTTACTGAGTGCTTACTATCTGCCCCAAGTAGTTTCCACCGTGTTAACTCAGAAATCATTGCAACAATCTTACCAGGTAGGCGCAGCTGTTATCCTCAGTCCAGGGAAGAGACCAAGGAGGCACAGAGAGCTTAAGGGATACATTAAATGTTGTATCTTTCATTGGGGATGAAATATCCCAGAGGAATCAGAATGTAGAAGAGATGGGGGTGGGCCAGGGGGTGGGCGCCATCCACAAATGAGGAAATGTTTGGGGTCCTTTTGGCAGTGTGGGCCAATTCTCGGATATAACATGGGATCTGTGTCTGCGTGTGAGACAAATATCTGAAGTGGAAGCTAATCTTCGGTGGTCACAGCTGGGAAGGAGGCTAACACTGCTTGAGCACCTACTGTGTGCCAGCTGTCTGTGTCAGGAACTTTCATCAGTGGTTCTCAACTGGGGGAGATTCTGTCTCTCAGGGGACATCTGGCACTACCTGGAGACATTTATGGTTGTCACAACTGCCGGTGGGGAGAGAGTGCTCCTGGCATCTGGGGGGTACAGTATGCAGCTGAACCGGCCTACAATGCCCAGGACAGCTCTCCACAACTAATACTTCTCTGGCTCTACGTGTCCATAGCCTGAGGTTGAGAAACCCTGCTTTACGTACGTGTTTTTCGTTGTTTTTCCCTCTTACAAAGACTCCCGTTTTATAGACCAGGCAACTGAGGCTCAGAGAGGTGCTGTGACTAGTCTAAGGTCACACAGCAGAGCTACTCAGGGACATCTGCAATTTTCTGAGAACCTCAGGAGTCAGCCATCTTCTGGACGTAATTGACTCCACCACTGGCACCTGCCAGACTCACCTCCCCCATCCCCCTTCCCATCCGCCCAGAAGGGATTCACTCACTCAAGGCCCAGATCAAATGCCACCTTGTCCCCGATCCCAAAGAAACATCTCCTAGAGGGCAGAAGCCACTCCACTCTCTCCCCGTGTCCTGAGGAACTTGCAGCATTTACCCAGGCCATTATGAGAACAGTCTTGGGTGTTTGGAACAGAAGATAAACAAACAGTCATGTTCTTTGCTAAAGGGTGATTACGGTCTAGAGGGGACATATTATATGAATCAGCTAATCCACTGCAGAGACAATACAATCCCTGGTGTGTGATAGGGGAACATTAAGAATTGTGTGGACAATTTAGAGAGTAGGGCCGGCCAAGAAGGCAGTTTCCACACGCAATGATAATAATAAAGGACAAAAATAGAGAACTTTCTAGGGACTGGGCACTGTTCCAAGTATGCCCTGTGGACTAACACATAACCCTGTGCGGGCCCCTATGAGCCAGGTGCGAGGATTATTTCCATTGTATCCCGACGGGCACACTAAGGCTCTTCAGGCAAGGAAACCAGCCGAAGGTCGCCCACTAGCCAGTGAGGGAGATGGGATTCGAATCTGAGCAGCTAACTCCAGGCCTCAGCGCCTGGTCACCTCTCCATACCTTCCTGTGAGGCAGGTGAGGACATTTGTCAAGCGGTCCCGCTGCTTATCAAGGTCACACAGGGCAGCCTGCACTAGCGGCCGGGTTTCCCAAGGCCTTATCCCCGGTGGTGGGTGGGGAGGGGGCCGCGGGCAGAGCAGCTGCTCCTTGATCAGTAATTCGAGAGCAGGTCATAATTCCTTCTGGGAAAGGTGGAAAGAGGGTCGTCTCCTGGGGGCAAAGAACTTCAGAAAAAAAGGGATAAAAACGGAAGGACGGAAAGGGCAAGAGAGAGGGAGGGACCCGGAGAGGCGCGCGTCTTCCTTCCCAAGGTCGCGGCAGCGCCCGAGGGCACCCACAGGGCTACGTGTCCCAGAGGCTGGCACCGGCCGGGCAGGGGCCGCCCCCTCCTCCTCCTCCTCCGCGGGGCCGGCGGGGTCGCGAGGGCCCGGGCGGGCTGGCTCCCCCGAGCGGCTCCCGCCGAGAGCTTTTCCAGCCGGGGGTTCGCCCAGCTCGAGCGGCGGCAGCGGGCGGCCGGACCTGCGTGCGTGTGCCTGCGCGCGGGGGGTGTCGCGCGTGGCGGGGGTGGGGGAG